TGATGCTTATTTTCCTAGCATTATCAACGAGAAAATTAGTCATTCCACTGCGCAATCACTTTCAAGAAAATTGTATTGTTTGATATTCAACATAAAGTATGAGATTATAATCCTTGTTTTATATAATCCTTGTTTTAATATCGAAATTTGGAAAGAAAGAAAAGGGGAGAAAAAACTTTTAAGTTTACATTACGTTTAAATCCCCGTATAATTAATAAGATACTATGCACCTTTTAAATCCTTGGAAAAAGTGTTCCTTTTACAATCTGGAAGTGTGCAATTTTTAATCTCTTTAATCAGCTAAGACGAATCACTCGAGCAACATGACATAAGAGCCCAGCCAAAACGTGTTAAAGAGTTTAAACTTCTTCTGGGAATGAATGCTTTTTTTGTTCATCGTTTTCTTAACGATCCACTACTTCTTTCTTCATTAATCGAGATACTTCCTTTTTTGCGTGTGGGGGGGGGGAGGAAAAGATTAAATCTTGAGACAGAAGCACTTTTGAATGTACTCTGCTCTTGAAATCATTTCTGAATCTGGTGGTTTAAGGAGGAGTCACTCACAATTAAATTTATTCATCCGGGCTCACGAACTTCTCTGGTTACTTATATTTTTTTCGTTCTATTTTTAATTTTTTATTATTCCCTTCCTTTCTTTGGCGCATCTTTCACGCTGCAAAGTGGATCATAAAAGAACCACGTGCTGGATGTATTATTGCGCCAATCGGCGAAGGGGAAACTCGATAGAGTGTGCTCAGGGGGTTGCCAAAAGGGGTGAATTTCAAGGTTCCGGGGCAGAAAAATCGCCAAGAGGTAAATGTAGGAAGATTTCAAAGATGCTCGCCAAAGCTGACTAGTACATATTTATAGCTAAGAGAGATTGGGGGGGGGGGATAGGGTAGATAACTTGCACGAGCTGAATTCCTGAAAACAAACTATGAATCTTTGAAGTTAAAGCATAAATATTTGAATTAACTCAAAACTGGGTTTCTTACGTAATTTATGGTGATGTTCTGCATCTCTTTGATCCATTCTTTTACGTACCTACATGCATTTAAAATTGCTTTTAGAATTTCATGAGTAGAACAGTGCTAGTTTTTTGGCTCAGTACATTGTTTACTAGAATTGTAGCCGAGATTTGAAATTTATATATACTAAAAAAAATTCTGTTTTTGTTCTGATAACTGGAAGTTCCCATTTTAATCTTCTGCTGTTGTATAACATTTAGAACGTGAAAGAAACGTGTGAAATATCATTAAATTATCAGTAGAGATTGTATAGATGCTGATACTTTCATTGTCAAGAATAGATTATTAATGGGAAATGATATCACTATCTTGAGATCGAAATAAATGTATAAAAAATGATATAACGAATTTTTGGTTATCTTCTAAACTGAAAAACGAATTTCAAGGTTCTGTAATAGTTTATTCAGCTTAAATGCTCAATTACTCATTTGCAGAATGTATTGTTGAACCCTGGAAATATATATATATAAGATAAAAAATGATGTAAATCAAAATTATAATTTAAACTAGCAGCAACCCTTTAATTCCCCCTCTCTATTCTAAAAGTCGTTATAACTTTTCTGGACTGCGTCATTTCTAGACTAGCTTGCGTAATGCTGATGCCGTAGGTAATTCGGAACCTAAACCCTGAAACCTATCTAACCAAAATTTTTCTCTTAATAGAGTGCCATATTGGATAACTGTGCACTTTGCTTGTATCTCTGTTGCTGCTTGGACGCTATTTCGCTCTGCTTTCTTCCCATCGCAACAGTATCGAAATTGTAAATGTTCTTAAAAAGGCACGATTATAGTGCCAAGTAAATTGTGGCCACAAATGCCAATTAGAATGAAAATGAATATTTAATCTTACTCGTCTGCCAAGTTTCTTAATCACTACGGATTCAGCATCTTAGCATACTACGCAATCAGAATTCTCCTCCTTCACTATGGATCTACGTGCTGCTTAATAAGCATTTCTGCGTTTCTACGTCCTACATCAATACTTCTAAAATTTGCTTTTATTACCATTAACAGGTAGGATTGCATCTACTACGTGCTTCGCCATCGGTATTTTTACTGCGTCTTAAATTTGTGTTTATTATATATATATATGCAATTTTTAATGTATATGTAAAATAGATTAAAATTGGTATTTCTGTCATATGCGGACTTAATATCCAGTAAATATATAGGAGCTCTTCATAAAAAGTCCTCATAGTGGCGATGTACTTAAAAGCCAAAACGCAAATTTTCAACGAGAATTAATTTTCTTGGCAATCTGATGAGCTGGTTGCATGGAATTTTTCGCTATTTCTTTGAAATTAAGATCAGTTCAATATTACAAGAAGGCATATTTTTCTCTAAGCAGGTAATCACAGTTAACACAACAACAATGTTCCGATGATATTTCTTAAAAATTAAGTAGATAATACTTTATGCGTTTCGAATAGAATTCATTTTTCGCGAACTTTTTAAACATATACATATATATGTAGTAATAAAAGTGAAAAGCATAATTTCAATCATACTATTACAAATGATAAAGGATTACTTATAAATGTGAAAATTGGTGTAGATTTTAAGATTTATGATTATTCGTAATAATTTATGAGTATATAAAATTTTTATAATTGTAAATTGTTTTTTATAATTTGATTAAAATTCTTCTTCAATATGGATCTAAGCACGCATCGACACTGCTCCGACTTTTCCTTGTGCTTTTATTATTACTTATATATATATCGTGGCAGAAGTTGCTAGGAACTTCCAGGACCTATTGCTCAAAGCTATCGAGACGATTCGAAAACAAATTTTGAGAATTTTCGCGAAAGCTGGGATGTTAGTTATTTGAAAATTTGAGTATAGGTTTCGTTTTGATGCATTTATAAAGTGTGACACTGAACTTCCTCAAGGTAACGTTAGTGATCCAGATGGATATCAGAAAAATAACCTATCCAAAGCTTTGAGTTAAAATGCTTAAAGGCTTTTTTAGAGCTAAAAAAAGTTTGAATGATGAAAAAAGCTTGAAAATCCGAGGTCTCGAATAGTTTTCAAGCTTCTTGGGACTCAAGTTTCGGAATTTTCCATTTTTAACAAAAAGTACCACATAACTGAGCAGAATGAATTCTTGCATGCTTTTCTGTAAGTAAAATAACTTGAATTTATATAACTTTGAATTAAAGAAATATAAACGCTGGTTGTCTCTCCAGTGTTTTATTTTGAATAAATGCTGCACTTTTAGGATTTATTACCTTGCATACATTTAACTCATATGCAAGGTAATATATAAATATTTCGCTTTTTCCTGAAATTGATAGCCGTTAGCCATTTGTTTAATAAGAATACCAGCTGGATTTAATTACATTCTTTTGTAATCACCTAGTTATTTGAAGTGACTTTTTCAGCAGTTTTCAAATTATTAAAACTCATTTAAAAAATGTAAAATCTGTTGTTTGAAAATGCATTACAAAGACAGAATTCGCTTATTAGATTTTATCTACTTCAAAATCTGAGAGTTCTAACGCCTTTTAGCAACTTGCATTCGTACTTTAGTTTAAGCTAATGGTTTTTCAAATTTTATTGGTGTCCGTAGTCAAAACATAAGACTAACTAACAGATTCATTAAGTTGACCTAGTTGCGTATTTTGAAAGTAATGAAATATCGTCATCGGATTTCAAAAACTGCCTTGACAATCACTGTGTCAGGAGCATGATTCGGGTTTGGAATGGATTCCTCGATTATGGGACAGCTCACTATGGCTGTCTGCCTGATGGAAGATCTGCCTTCATAGATCTAATAGCCATTTTGTCCTGGGTGATGACTTTCCAGAGCAAACTGGCTGATATTCACTTATACAACTAAAAATCTTTTAATCTCCAAGATCATTTTCCAATAAATCTTGTATTTAAAAAAAATCTGATACAATCGAGAGTATTGGTGCTGCTTTTCACAAACATGTGAATCACAAACACAAACAATGCTTCATGATAGTCAACAGGGCTTTCAACCGTATACTGTGCTTTGGAATTGTATAAAAATTAATGTTGCAAGCTAACTAACTAAACCTCTAGATACAAGCATTAAAACAGGATCTTTCCCCTTTCCCTTCCAGTGCTCACCAGCGGCCGAGCGGTAAAGTCGCTGAACACTGGTAGTTCGCTCCGTGGTTCGAATCCCGCGAACGGGCTGGCTGCATGGGTGTTTTTTAGCATGTGTATACGAGCCAGTTTCCCTTAGAAAGTCCTCCACGAAGCCATCTCTCCCTTTAGGCGGATAGCCCTAGTGTGCTTTGCCATAATTAAATACACCACAGCTTTCCCTTCCTTTTAATATTTACTTTCATTTCTTAATTTAACCCTTTCTAATTGAAACACCATTTGCAGAGTGAATAAACCGCGGAACCCTTATGTGTTGTTTCGTTTTGAATTCGAATCCTAGCGAAGAGCATAGGTCGCTGAGCTTTTCATGGCTTTCACTATGTGTAACGTAAATAGGAGTGACTTTCGTTAGCATGTTCTTCTCGAAGACAGGATGTAATGATATTAAATGATACAAGATCTAGTGTATGATCTAAAGAATGGTACACAATTTTCTGTGATGCTTATTAAAAAAACTGCTTCGAAAATTAAACACTTTAAAGAAAAAGGGCTTTTAATTTTTTTATCTTATTTAAATAATTCTGAGATGTCGTTATTTACTTGCATATTTTTTCTCTTAGCTTTTTAGCACAAGGTTCTAACCTATTTAAAAAAATATTCGAGTAGTTTTTCACGTCCTCAAGGCACTCATAAAGCGAGTTCTGCTAAATTTTAAAATTAAAATGGAGTCGTCCACATAGTGGTCGTTTTCGTCCATTTGATTGTTTCGTGGATTTTGGGTAAATGGGCTCTGACTGATGAAGAAATAATACTGAGGAGCTTCAAGAAAGAAATACAGGATACTAGTACTTTCTATCTTTCTGAAGATCACTGCGTATAGGAAAACAGACTGACCGGTGGCGAAGAACGATGACATTGGTGACAATCACTGTGATGATGATGAGGATTTAGAAGCTCTAGGCGGTCGTCACAAACAGCAGTTCCAGCTGCAATCAATAATTTGAGACCTAGGAAGTAAAAGTGGGCAACAATAAGAGCAGGTGACTTACTACGTATTCTTACTGGAATGTAGGGTTCTTTTAAATAAATAATATTGTGATTATTACAATAGGGTAGTATTATAAGGTATTTCACCCGCCTTCTTAGCGTACCTTCGTGGAGTAGTGATCTGCACGTTGGGTGCGTATTCCAGAGGTCCGTGGTTCGATTCCCGGCGAAGGCGTTGCTCATTTTTCACTTCTCCTGCTTCCAAAATACCTAATGTCTCTACAGTATATGCTGAGGTTCTCTAAACTGAGACTATCAGTGTCTTGATCTTTTATACTTAATATGATACTAAAATAAAAGGCCCGGTGGCGCAGCAGCACCACAGGTTTGGGGTTCGAACCCCCGGCTGGGCAAGGTTGACTCAGTCTTTCATCCCTAGATTTCCATCCCTTGGGTCGAGAAAATGAGTACCAAGCTCGCTTGGGGACTAAACACTGGGGGTCCTGCGGCAAGCTGACCACTTGTTCAGGGCAAGAAAGCAGATTTCGGGGCGCTGCAGGCCTTGCCCATTAGGGCTGTTTGCGCCACTGAGTTTAGTTTTATGATACTAAAATAATAACAAAACCGTACGCTATGAACTGGAGGAGGGAAGCTGAAGTACGCAATCATTTAATCAATTTTAACAAAATTTTCCGAGGGCTGTCTGTCTTAGGGACAGAATGCATTTGTGAGAGTCTTTACTAAGAAATCAAACTTCGTAGAACTTCCTAAGGGCTTAGGAATTACAATTTTTCTTTATATGTTAACATTGCTCATTGGAAAATTTTCCCTATGTGTCTACTCTAAAATTACCGATAAGTAACTTTTCTCTGTGTGTGTAATGTTACACTTAGGGAATTACCATGTGACCGTGATTTTCCCTCTGTGTAAATATACACATAAAGAAAACCAAAAAAGAGCCGATATAGACAGCCTATTCTCCTCGATTCGAAACCTTGGTAGAACTACTAGTGTTCAATGGTCTTATTCACGCAACCAGTGGTTGTCGAAATACGCAGAATAGCCTCTCTTAGAGTATACTTATCTATATTGTAAGGCTAATTATCATAGCGAAATGCTCCAAATGCACCTGTCTCAGAAACAAATAAAGGAGAGAGTTTTTAATTATAGCATGAACCACCACGTTTTTGACTTGCTTGGTGGGGAGTCGAGCTCGAGAATAAACTAGCACTGCTTGTGATTTATTCAGTTGGCAATTGGCTGCAAAGCCCACCAAGCAGCCGAAAGATAAAATCGCTAAACACTGTTAATTCGACTTGTGTTCAAATTCCAGCGGACGAGCTGGTTGCATGAGAATTTTCATAGTGTACTTCATAAATTACATAAGTACAAGCTAGTTTAACTTAAAAAGTCCTTCATGAAGATACTCCTTTCCAAGGCAGATAGCCTTTGTTTCTTTGTTGGAATCCAAATAACCCAATCAATTGGTTACGGTAGCATGTATTGCGCCTCTGTACTTGTAGATTTGTGATGTATAAATAACTTTTATTAAACTTACATTTTTGATAGAGCTTTGATAGACCTTACATGTCAACATCTTATGGAGTAAGTCCGTCAGTGGTTGAGCGATAACAACGCTGAACACTTGTTATGCACGGGTTCAAATCTTCGGCGAACGGACTGGCTGCATGGCACGATTCGTGATTTTTCCCATGTGTAACATGAACACGAGCCAATTTTGCTTAAAAAGTCCTTCATGAAGGCATCTTTTCCGTTAGGTACGTAGAGTCCTCATGTGCTTTGCTATAATCTAACCATATGGGGTTGTTACTGATTTTATTTAACATATATAGTTTAGTCTAATTTTTGCAGAATATTAACATTGCGTTTTTTAGTAAGACTAACAACATTAATGATAATTCATAAAACATAGTAAACTCAATTATCAGGCCCTAACACTAACTATTTTCCAATTCTCTCCACCTTTCAGAATCAGCTTTTGTCATCACCCTATTCTTTAAAAGTAAAGCCTTATTGGTATATTTTATGCAGAAACGGTGAATTGCGAAATGTTTATTCCGAGAGCATGTTATATGGAGGACACGGGGTTCGAGCATCTTTGTCCATTGATGAGTAGCATCAATTCAAGTCTGCTTTATACAGAATGTTTAAACTAGACGAAAACGGAAACATATTTCATTAAAATTAATAAATTATACTATTTCATAAATTGTGTACTGCATCAAAATGAACTTTTGCTGTTCTAAAAGGAGATATATATTAATAGTTTACCGCTAATATTCTGACAGCATTTCAGTAAAGAACCTTTGAATCAGGAAAATTAAGGACATTTCTACGACATTACGCTATTTTCAAGTTTTTCATGCCTTTAAGCTAAATTGAGTATTTTATCAAAGCATTATTACATATCATCATTTTTCCTTAATTATTTCCATTAATTGATGTAGTGGGTTTAAAAATAAATACATTAAATAAGTTAAAATTTTGTAAATTAGTTATGTATGTTATTTCTTTTATGCTATTTGGAAAAAATAAAACGTTTAAAAGATATTTTTTCTCCAAAGTACATTTAAATATTAGAGTATTATCGAAAATGTTGAGTATAAAAAAACGAGCGTTTCTTTATGAAATGAGCGCAAAAACGAGTCATCTCCAATTCAGAAAGGGAATTTTTTTATCTTTGTTGAAATGAGAAGTCATGAAGAGAATTGATTTTCGGAATCTGTCATTCAATTAACAAATTTTCAGTCTTATGAAGCAAGAGGAACTCTAAAAAGAGCTTTAAATAATAATAATAAAATCTGAAAACTTTTAGATTTTATATTACGCCCAAAGGGGCGTTTTATTCATTTACACAAACATACACGTTTCGAGAGCATTTAGGCTAATGACCCTTTGGACAAAAATGTGTTTAAAAACAACATCTCTTTAGAATTTCCGATAGACAGTCTCGCGCACTGGAAATAAAAATATTTTATTCCGTACCGTGTGTTGTCACTGCTCGAATTGAAGTCGTTGAGTTTTTTTAATAAAAAAAATGAAATATATTGTTTACACATTAGGTTATCTTGAAGCAGGAGACATGACAAATGAGCAGTACCCTTGCATTGACTGGAACCTGGATCTCTCGAATACGCGCTCAGTGTGCTACCGTTACGTCACGAAGACATGCTGGAAGGAGGGTTTGATTTATGTGATTACGGAAAAGCCTTGAGGGCTATCTGCCTAAGGATGTAGGATTATCTGCCTAAGGTTCTGGGCTAACACCCCCTAAGGCTTTAAAAAAAAGGGGGGGAGGGTTTTTGCAATGCAATTACTTCTTTAATAGCATTTTGAGTAAATTCATTTATAGATAGTATTTTCAAAATCTTTTTCAATTTCAGCTTGTATCAGAAATGCGTAATAATACCACTCAGTTACTGCTTAGAAATGGCAATTTTCCTTTGGGCTAGTATTTTCCGATTTTCAGAATCCCATATAGTATTCCGGAATGAGGGGGGGGGGAAACATTTTTTTCAAGATTTCGGACTATGTCTTATGCGCAGATTTGTGTTTCTATATATTTGTATTACATAAAGATGTACTTTTCTATGTCTGAAAGTAGTAACCGTGAGTTTTAACGCCAAATACATAATTTGAGTGAATTAGTTGTAAAATTCGTTTAGGAATCCTAACAACAAAATTATTTTTATTAGTAAAGCCAGATATATTAAGCTGCCTAAGTACCATGTATTTATCTTCAAGGTCTGATATATGTATGGGACAAGATCATTTATGGTTTTGTCAGACGTTATTATGGCTTTTATCGAGTCCAAATTTCTTTCCCTTTTTCATTTGCAAATAAATCCATTTTTATCAGTTTAATAATTCAAAACTGAATATAATGTGTAACGAAGTAAATAAATTGAATTTACTGCAACTGAATACTTTAAATTATGTAAAGTAACCGAAACGCTGTTAATAATTTCAGTAAACCATTTTTTCCTTTAAAGAAATATTTGCAGTTCCTCAGAAATGCAGTTTTACTATGATGATTGCTAGATAGGACCATAAAATAGCTGTAATCCTGGTATTTAAGCAAAGTGATATCTAGCGGTAGGCAAAGTTATGTCTCTCTTTTTTAAGCTTCTCGACAATTTTCAATTAAATTGTATTTTAAAGTAATCCGATCATGCTGTTTTATTGGCTTTTCTGCGTATATTATGGATTTGCAAAGAAACAGTTTCTGAGTTTTTGAGGGGCAATGCGACTGACAGTAACTTGCTGTAACGGTTGATTTAGTATTTTAGTATTTAGTACATGTTTGTAAATACTTATAAAGCGTTAAGTAATGCTGAAATTAATAGAACTGAAAAAAAAAATAAGGTAGAGTTTGGTATTAATTGTAATATTTTTCATCTCTTCTGTTAAAATTGTTTGATAATATTTTTTTAAAGAATTTAGCTGCTAAATTTGGAATATGGACAAAATGCGACCACGAAATAATAATTTAAAAAATAAATTTGCAATAATTTTTTTTATTGGTATTAAAATGTATTGGGAACACGTTTTTTTATTTATTTTTATTTTATTTTATTTTATTTACTGAAATTTTATTTTTAATTTCCAGTATATTTAACATTAATCAGCTCTTGGACACTATTCGAGCTATTATATGTACCGTAGATGGCCAACTATTTTATGACCTCATACCGTTCACCGGTAAGTACGAAACTTTTAAGCATGATTATCGAAAGAATTCTCAGTAGAAGGTCAAAATAATCATTTCTAACTACAGTCGACGTTAAAAACGTTTTACATGTTGTAGGCATGAAATCCTTTTGCTAAATCAAAAAATCAAAACGAACTCAAATTATATCACACGCATCAGTTTTAGTTATGACATTAAGTGTACTTATTGTAACCTATGTTTTCGTTCAATATTTCGAGTATCCTGGGAAATAAATTTCGTGAAAGCGATTAAATTTAGAATCTGTCAAAAAGTTTATAACATCTTGAA